GCTGTAAACCCATGAGGGCAGAAACTGGGTCTTCTTTTTATTGGTATCCCCAAAATGCACCAAAATGTCTGGGCACCAGTACATGCTAAGAAGTGTTACAGATGATCATGAAGGTAAGATTTAAGGATCTTGATCTAAAAGAATGTTGAATCTGAAAGCCAATGGATCCTCTAGCAATCCCATTGGGAGTTAACACAGCCCTCCAGAAGCTAGGCCAGAGGCCAGTGGAGTTGCCTGGTGTGGAAATAGCGCTCGATTGTGTTTCAGGAGGTGTCTATTGGGAGCCCTGCTGTGGTCTGCTCCAGAACAAATGCTCTGTCCTTGACACCAATACAAGCAGCAGCCTCCCCTGCCACCTGTCAGTGAACCACCGCCAAAGCATAATTGTACCGGGATGTCGTGAGAGGAAGCCTGATTTAAACAAGGCCCTGGCAGAGTTGGGGGGCCAGCAGCGCCTTCTCATACCTGTTAATGAAGCCTCATTAGAAACAGCAAGAGCCTGTGCTGGGAACTGGAAGCACCAGTCTGCCACGGCTCTCCCTGCCAAAGGGTGATTAACTGAATGATTTACGGCAGCTGCTCTTTGAGATGACGGTGTGGAGGAGACCGAGGGTGTGCAACCCTGCACAGTGTGCTGTCTGGTGGAAACTCAGGAGTATGCGCAGATTCCTTCTCCCCTCTTTCCAGCGGCCGAAACGACTTCCAGGTTCTAAAAACTGCATGGCCATTCAGTCATAGAAGTACCTCCCTTTGATAGCTGACCTTTCGGGGACTCTCACCTTTGAAGCCTCCAGCTACCTTTAGGTTAGGAATTTAGGTCTTGCCTGAGGGGCCAAAAATTAATAGTAACAAGAAAGAAAGCAAAGAAACAGACCTCAGTGTCTTGTGCATCCAACATAGCAAGGCCAGCCACACACTTTGTTTTCTGGCAGGACTCTTGTATCCAGGTGGTTCAATTATGGGCAGCCCCATAGTGTGCAGCTATGGAGGAGATGGATACTTTGCTAAAATGTAGTTTTAGGGCGTCTTGCCTATTTCCTTGTCTTGAACAACAAACTGACCTATGTCAAGGTGCTATGCAGCACCTAACATGGCATTGACATATAACAGGGGCTGAATAAATATTTATTGAGGAAGAGGATTTAGTTTTGGAGGGAGCTTTCCACTGCTCAGCATGATTGTTGCTCTGGTGAACTGCTAAGACTGAATTCCCAAAATAATGTGTAAACCCACTATTTCACTTCCTCAGGACAATTTATTACCCTACATGTTTCTCTTGCTTCTTTTCTTTTGGTTGCTGGTACTAAACAATGAGGGGCTGAACCTACCACTAGTCTATTGATTTCCTGTCCCCTCTCCTTTTGTTTTCTTCTCAAAGCAACCACAACACCATTAATTATCATTCAGGAAGTTAGTGACAACTTGTCTTAATCATCTTGTCAGGTTTGCCTTTGTCTTTTTAGTTTAAAGTTGTGAACCCCATTTATACATCTTTCCTGTCTAGGATATCGATAAGAACTTTAGCTGCGGATAAAAACAAAACAAAAACAAAGTAGCCATGACTTGTCCAAAGAAATTTAGCAGCTTGTTGCTCAACCATTTTGCAAAGCCCTTTCTTTAAGCTGCAACGTGGCTTTTTGTCCAGTCCCAGAATTGCACTGAAAACTGGACTCCCTGTGGGGCAAATTACCTTCCGCTCTCAGGAGGAGCAGGAGAAAATGGAGTATTTCCTCTTGGGCATGATAGTGAACATTCTGTCGACTCTGCAGCACCGCATGTCTATGCTGGGATCTATCCTGTTCCTGCTCAACCTTTTGTCCAAAATAACCAGTCGATATGATCCAGTCAAACCAGTTACTTCAGCTGAGAAAACAGTTTGCTGTATTTCTTCACTAAACTAGCAGACTAATTTCTCAAACACAATGGTGCTTTTGTGTCAGGGGACTGAGTTTCCAATCAAGAATGGGTAAAGACACAGCCTGGGCCATCCTTTCCCCTTCTTGTGTACTGGGGTGTCCCAACTGGAAGTGCTAGGCAAACCTTTATGAATGGCTTGAGGTCAGATAACTATGTGGGGAATACGAAGTATGGAGTGCTTCTGTCTGATATTATTAGAGCTGTCAGATAATGTTTTAGCATAAGTATGTCTCATGCAACATGTGGGACATACTTATACTAAAAACTTATTCATTTTTTTATCTGAAATTTAAATTAAACTGGGCATTCTATATATTTTTATTTGCAAAGTCTGGCAATCCCAGATAAGATTCTAGATTTGTCTCCAAAGAAACAACCCATCCTTTTCTCAAAACAAGCAAGACAATGTAAGGGTTTATAAAATAATATCTATGGGGTATGTGGAGACAATCAGAGACAGACATGGTGCTTGATGGTTCTTGCTAAATCATCTTGCTGAAAACCAAGTGAGGTCAGACTCAGATGTCTATTTTCATACCTTTGATGACAAAATGAATCTATGAAGGGGCTGTGAAAACTGTGACGTGCTGCTCTGTCTGCTTTGCTTTACTTATCCTTTGCGTTGTTGATCCTCCAGGGAGCACACCTGCACTCACCAAGGCTGTAAACCCATGAGGGCAGAAACTGGGTCTTCTTTTTATTGGTATCCCCAAAATGCACCAAAATGTCTGGGCACCAGTACATGCTAAGAAGTGTTACAGATGATCATGAAGGTAAGATTTAAGGATCTTGATCTAAAAGAATGTTGAATCTGAAAGCCAATGGATCCTCTAGCAATCCCATTGGGAGTTAACACAGCCCTCCAGAAGCTAGGCCAGAGGCCAGTGGAGTTGCCTGGTGTGGAAATAGCGCTCGATTGTGTTTCAGGAGGTGTCTATTGGGAGCCCTGCTGTGGTCTGCTCCAGAACAAATGCTCTGTCCTTGACACCAATACAAGCAGCAGCCTCCCCTGCCACCTGTCAGTGAACCACCGCCAAAGCATAATTGTACCGGGATGTCGTGAGAGGAAGCCTGATTTAAACAAGGCCCTGGCAGAGTTGGGGGGCCAGCAGCGCCTTCTCATACCTGTTAATGAAGCCTCATTAGAAACAGCAAGAGCCTGTGCTGGGAACTGGAAGCACCAGTCTGCCACGGCTCTCCCTGCCAAAGGGTGATTAACTGAATGATTTACGGCAGCTGCTCTTTGAGATGACGGTGTGGAGGAGACCGAGGGTGTGCAACCCTGCACAGTGTGCTGTCTGGTGGAAACTCAGGAGTATGCGCAGATTCCTTCTCCCCTCTTTCCAGCGGCCGAAACGACTTCCAGGTTCTAAAAACTGCATGGCCATTCAGTCATAGAAGTACCTCCCTTTGATAGCTGACCTTTCGGGGACTCTCACCTTTGAAGCCTCCAGCTACCTTTAGGTTAGGAATTTAGGTCTTGCCTGAGGGGCCAAAAATTAATAGTAACAAGAAAGAAAGCAAAGAAACAGACCTCAGTGTCTTGTGCATCCAACATAGCAAGGCCAGCCACACACTTTGTTTTCTGGCAGGACTCTTGTATCCAGGTGGTTCAATTATGGGCAGCCCCATAGTGTGCAGCTATGGAGGAGATGGATACTTTGCTAAAATGTAGTTTTAGGGCGTCTTGCCTATTTCCATGTCTTGAACAACAAACTGACCTATGTCAAGGTGCTATGCACATTGTAAATAGCTGTTCTGTTCATGTGATCTTTAATACAATTCCTTTGCTCCTGTAGGCCAAAAAGGAAAACCAGTTGTAGCAATTCCAACAAGGATACCACATATCTTGCCTTTTTTTTTTCTTTTTTGAGACAGTCTTGCTCTGTTGCCTAGGTTGGAGTGTAGTGGCGCAATCTTGGCTCACTGCAACCTCCGCCTCCAGGGTTCAAGCAATTCTCCTGCTTCAGCTTCCTGAGTAGCTGGGACTACAGGTGCCTGCCACCCAAGCCTGGCTAATTTCTGTATTTTCAGTAGAGACGGGGTTTCACCATATTGGCCAGGCTGGTCTCGAACTCCTGACCTTGTGATCTGCCCACCTTGGCCTCCCAAAGTGCTGGGATTACAGGCATGAGCCACCGCGCCCAGCCACCTTGCTTCTCTTATAAGCAATCCTTAAGGATAAATAAATGTTCTTTTGTTTGTGTGGGCCTTGGCTATTCGGACCCTCAGGTATGGGGGTTTTCAAATGTACCCGTGTTGGATACACCCCCTGTCTGGATTAGCAGCTCAGAAACACAAAGACTCAGCTTGGATATTTTGGTCCGTAATTCTGTGTGATAGGTAGACCGACAGAAGTTTGAGGGAAGAATGATTAAATTAAGGTTGGGTTTTTTTTTTTTTTTTTTTTTTTGGTTGTTTGGTTTTTTTTTTTCCTTTCAGTTTTAGAGACACTGAGAACCTGTGGTAGGACACAGGTGGTGGTTTCAATTTTAATCAGAAGGCAAGAGAGTCTTGACTGGGTAGGTGGCAGATGCATGAACTATATTTGGCCGGCTTAGGCCCTGAGAGAACTGGGGAAAGGACCCTGGAAGAAAATTCTGAGGCTGTAAGTGGGGTGAGCAACCACAGTGTAATTAATCCCCCACTTAGATTGAATGGGTTTAGATTGGGCTGAGACTGAAGTTCCCTTTTAACTGATTGAGAGGTGCTCTGCCAATAGCAAGTGAAATGTGTGTGTCTGCACATGAATATGCATGCAGAGTATATTAAAGAGGTCTGAATGCTCCATGATGCCTGTAATTATGAAACATGCAATAAAGCACCACATTAATCCCCTTTCGAGCAAGAGCGTTGTTTTTTGTCCCAGACTGCGGCAATCCTGCATGCCATGAGCACTGCTTTTGCCTCCACAGCACTTTTATGTTGACAAACCCAAGAGCAGGTGACCCTAGGGAGGCAGATGGCGTCACACTCAAGGGAATCCTTCCAGAAGCCTTCAAGCATAGCTCTGCGAGCAAAGGCCAGGCAGGTAAAGTGATATCCATCTTGAACCTATAGTGAGTTCAACAAGGTGGGCAAACTGGACGCTGCGCACAAAGCATTTATTTGAAGGAGGACAAGGGAGGTTGCTCAAGCTACAGACTACTCAGATTAAAGCAGAAGGACCCTCTCCACTTCCAAGAAGCTTTTCAGCTCAAGCTGAATTAACCAGGGAATCCAGCAGGGACTGGAACTCAGGAGAAAGCTCCTCAAGCAACTTCACGGGTCAGCCGGTGAGGAAGGGTGTTTTCTTCATGAAAAGAGGAAGTTTCTCCATCAGCTGAAAGGAAACACATAGGAGTCAGAAGCAATGGGCGAGGAAAATGGGTCATTCTGTCACAACAGGATTACGAGAAAGGGGGCTGTCTCATGAAAGCATCTGGCCTTCAGAACAAGATAGTTTTGGATTTTAAATCATTACTCCATGGTTATTTGCTGTGAGACCTTGGGCCATGACTTAAGCTCTCTGAGGCTTTGTTTCCTGTCTGTAAAAGAGGGATCACGATGTTGTTTTGGCAGGGTTTGGGGGATAAACGAAAATAATCAAGAGTCAGGTCTGCGCTGGCACTCACTAAATGAATGTAGCACATAGATTCTTACGAAGTAACTCAGCCTAACTCACTGCTCTTGGTGTTTGTTTAAACTGACTTTGTGTGTTTATTCAGATGCTCATAGGCATCTGAAAAAAAATTAGGAACATCTGGCTTTTATAATCAACAAAAAACAATTCAATAAAAGACAGTTGGAGAGGAGCTGGATGACATATTTTCCATTTGAAAGCAGGGCGTGGTTAGGTCGCTTCCTTGAGTCTCTCCCGCCTGCTGAATAAAGAGAGGTTACACTGTTGGAGAGAGCAGGAGACCTGGGCTCCCGTCCCAGTGCTGTCTCCGCCTCCTGTGTGATCATGCGCAAATCTTTTTCCGTTCTGGGTCTTTGTGTTCTCTCTTGAATCAGGAGGGATTGAATGATACGATCACCAAGCTGTCTCTATTCCTTACTCAACACATGTCAGAGAAGGGGCCTTGGAGGGAAATAAGAAGGCAGAGAACTATGATACAAAATCAGGGCCTGGGTTTCTGGAAAGAGTTGGCAAGGCAACTAAGGCCCAAGGCTGATGTACATGCCTCCAGAATCCTTATCTATTAAAAAAAGAGTGAGTGCAAGTGTGTGTGTGTAATTATGGCAGACTAACTCAACTGCTGTTCCCAACCCCTTGCCTGCCTCCACTATGGAGTCTGGAAAAGCTAAAGAGTTGCTTTCTCAGCCTCCCTTGCAGATGGATATGGCCAGTATAAGCAGGTTCTGGTCTATGAGATATAAGGGACAGTCCACTGCAAGCCTCCAAATGTCTTTCCTTCACTGGTTAAAGGAGAGGGCCACTCAAGAAAAAGCCTTTTTTTTTTTTTTTTTTTTTTTTGCTGCTGCCTCTTCTCTCCCACTTCTGGCCTTGAATGAGGATGTGATATTTGGATCTGTGGCTGGCATGTGGTAACAAAGATAAAAAGCCAATGTTATCATGGTATGTTAGAAAGATGAAAAAAGCTTGAGTCCTTACCGAAATCTTTGAACAGCCTAGATCACCTATTTCTGGGACTCTTAAATAAATGGTTTACACATCTTTGCTAGTCAGAGTGTGGTCTGTGGAGCAGCAGTATAGTCATCCCCTGGGAGCTTGTTAGGAAGGAAGACTCTCAGACCCCACTGCAGATGTACTGAAGCAGAATCTGCATTTTAAAAAGATGCCCAGCCGGGGTGTCACGGCTCACACCTGTAATCCCAGCTATTCTGGAGGCTTAGGTGAGAGGATCACTTGAGCCCAGGGGTTTGAGTCGAGACCAGCCTGGGCAACACAGCGAGACGAGACCCTGTATCCCGCACCCCCCCACAAAAAAAAGATGCCCAGGGTTTTGAGTGCACATTAGTTTCAGGAGCACTGGTTTATAGCCTCATTAATTAGATTCTATTACAAACAACTGAAACATTCCTAACAGCTATTATGTACATCCTAGGTATACACATGTGTGTGAATGTATGTGTGTATATATGTACGCATACGTGTGTATATATACATACATAAATATGCATACATATAGAAAATGTATTAGTATGTGAATATATATTATATATATAATTTGTATGTGGATAGGAAAGGAAGGACACAGCTAGGCTGTGGGAATGGGTGCCTATGTGAGAGGAAGTCTGGGGTGATTTCTTAAATACTTCTACAGTGTTTGGAAAATAATTATTTTTAAAGCCATGAATATGCATCCCTTATTGACGCAGAAGCGAGGCTTACCCGCTCTCCTCCCTGTCCAGCAGGGCGTGGTAGGACGCCACGTCCTTCTGCAGCTGGCACTTGCGGGCCAGCAGATGCGCGCGCTCCTGTTGCTGTTGCTCCGCCTCTGCGCGGATCTCGCTGAGCTCCGCCTCCAGCCTGCCGACCACAGCGCCCAGGTTCTGGAGCTCCATGTCATGCCAGTGCTTGGCATCGTGCAAGGTGTTCTCCAGGCCTCGTTTCTGCAAAAGAGCGAACCTGGTCCAAACCCGAGGACGACAGGCCGGGCCCTTGAAGAGAGAGGTGTGCAGAGCAGTGGCAGGAGCTGGTGGTAGCCTGGACTATTCCCCCTGTGGCAGGGACCTTGCCAGTTATGGAGGCTGACGGGGGTTATTATTCTTAGTGGCTCCGTGGGAAAAATAAGGAATCCCACTCAGGTCAGACTGTCGATTAGTCTGATTGAATGATCTCTTTGATGGGAGAGAGGGTGAGGGAGGCGAAAAAGAGAAGGAGAGAGGGAGGGAGAAAAGAAAGGGGGTGTGAGAGAGGAGTGGAGCAAGAGGGAGAGGGATTGAGAAAGACAAATGGGAGGCAGCTTGCAGGTGTTTCTTCAAAGAAATCTTGTTCTCCGGGGCTTTTTCTTCTGATTTTTTCACTCCCCGGGGGACCCCTTCTCCCTGTGCTGCGGAAACCCCATCCATCATTTGGCTAGAATCTCCTCCAGCATTCTTTCCCAGATCACTGTCCTCAGAATGAATGTCTCTGGCCTTTATATACTCAGCATTTTCCCCTTTGGTGTTTTAGTAGCACATTTTTGCCTATCCCTTTTCCTCTGCCGTCCCCTCACTGTGGGCTCCCCAGTGCCCACCCTGAGCCTGCTTTTTTTCCGAGCAGCGCGTCCTGGGTCTATGTTGGTCTCCATCATACTCATGATTTGAACAGTCGTCTCCAGGCCACGTCCTGCGTTGGTAATTCCACCACCAATCTTTCCTTCAGTAGCTATAGACCTGCCACTGAACTTCTTACTGGAAATATATACTCAGAACTCACATCAAGGTGTCCAAAATGAAGCCACTGGCTGCCTCCTGAACCTGCTGGCTCCTCCTAGTCTAAGCTTCAACTGGTGAACCCATGTGAGCTAGAAACTGGGGAAAGATGTGTTCCTGCTTTCCTTCGTTCTCTTCTTCCAAATGCAACCATCACGGCTTCCTGTATATTATGAGTCCTGCTTCTTGTACCTCTTGAGAAGTTTTCACATTATGCAGCCACCATGGCCTGGGATTGGAAGCTTGTCACCTCTCACCTGTGGTACCCTCAGTGGCCTCTTAGCTCATCTCCCCACCTCTAGTTCCTCCTCTTCCTGAGTTCCACACACAAATAGCCACAGTGCTCTGTCGAAAGCCTAAACCTGGGCCTGTATCTCCTCTGCTTAAACTCCATTGATGGCTCCCCAGGGCCCCTAATACGGCTCACACAGCTGGCCCAGTATCTTTCCATCTTTATCCCCACCCTACGGCAGCATCAACACTTCCAGTCTTGGAGTTTATTTGGTCTGCGTTGTTTCCTCCACCTGCACCATGCTCCTCCATTCCTTCCAGCATCCTCACCTCACTCCCTCCTACTCATCCCCAAGTCCAAGCTCAGAGGTAATCTGCCCCAGGAAGCTGTCTTTGAAACTCCTCTGCTGCTACCATCACCAAGCTAGGTTAGGAGACCCTCTGTATTTCCATGGCTCCCCAAGCTCATGCATGCTCTTAAACTTACCACAGTGGGCTAAGCTTGCTTATGGGCGTGTCTCTTCCACCAGATGGTGAGACTTGGAAGGAACCAAGTCTCTTTAGTCCCAGCACACAAGTCAGGGCCTGGCACAGAATAGGTTCTTGGTATGTGTAGGTTGCCCTGGATGATAGCACTTGTATTATGGTTACACTTATTGCAATACCTGTGTCTCCCCATTAGACTGGAAACTTCGTTCTTCTCATCTTCCCATGCACCATGTCCTGAAGACTACAGAGCTGATCAATAAACCTCTTTAAAAAGCTATGTCTGTGTTTAACATTTTCTAATAGTTTCATTTATGGTTCGCCTATCCTTGAGCATCTGGCTTTTTAATATAACACACACAAAAAAACTTTCTAAATTGGATTGAATTAAATTTTGATGAAACAAGATTCTGTACTCTGCCCTCCAGGAGGAGATTTTTTACACCCTTATGACCACTGTGGATGAAATAGAAAATTCTTTGTCATGACACCATCTTAAATCATGACTGCTATTAGCAGGTATCACCATATTACCTTATTTAAATCTTCTTAATTCCACAGGATATGAGAATGTTGAGTCAGATTCTCATCTACCTGAGGCATATTTGTAAGAGGCAAAATGTGATCACTAGAGAATAAATCTAGATCAGTGTCTGGTCTAGGGTTATTATTTAATAGAATCTGAAAACCTTTCTATAGCAGTGAGGATGCAGAAATGGCCACCTTGACTTTGAGCATCATTTGTTCCAACCTCCCTGGGTTTTCTTTCTTTGTTTATACATGAAAGTACTTAATTTGTGACTAGTTATTGTTGACATTGGATTTGTAACATCTGTGATTTGGGAACACGCTTCACAGAATCATGGTTGGATCATCTGTCTGTAGTTTTTCTCCATCTTCTAGATGAGTTCTTCATGTGTCCTGAGGTTTTTCCTTGGTGACTTAGGACCCACTGCCAACAGGGCATTCACTGGAACCCCAGCCAAAGGTTATATGTGTCTTCCATCTTAACCTTAAAGTCCAAATCCAGCTTCCCTACCGAAGTCCCTGATACTCTGGCAGAAAGAGAATGCCTGGTTCTCCTGGAGATGCTTGAGCTTGAGCGACTATGACCAGGCTACTGCTGCAGGCAGCACGCGGGCTCGGTCAGCCACACAGACAGCACCAGCAAACAAACTGAGGTCACAGAAGCACGCTTACTCTGCAGGTCTCTAGCGATTTGAAGGACTTTCTAGAATTGCAAAACCCTCCAGAAAGTAAAAGAGTGACCTTCTGTGACTTCTGGCCTTGAATTCCATTCCTGATTTGAGTTGACTAGACACAGAGTTCAGCAGGTCTCAAGTACCATTATTCGTGCCTAGCTTCCAATGCAAATAGTGCCTTATTGGCAAAGGGGGCCGAAAGTCTCGCCAGCTTGGCCATCTGAAGTTTATATAAGCTGTGGGGGCCTTTTGTGTGCACAGATCACTCTGACTGAGAATAACAGGAATGGCTGGATGAAATTCCTGTATCTGAAAACTGTAGGAGAGTTTGTTACCTATTTTGTCCCAGTGTGTGCTCCTCACCGTGGCTGCAAGGCCCTGTGACCAGAACAGTAATCTACCAGAACCAGCAGGGAACAGAGCAGCCTGTTCTGGGCCATGGGCATAGAAAGAATGCCACTACTCTGAAGCTTTCTGGTTGAGAGTGTAAATTCTTTTTCCATTTTTTCCCAATAGTTAGGACCATGGGTTTAAGTGAGGTGACCAGGTGGCTGGTGATGCCAACTTGGAGTTACTATTCTAGTAGTTAGTATAGCAATTTTATATGATAATTAATAATAGATGGCATTTATTGACTGCTCACTAAGTGCCAGGCACTGTGCTGAGGGCTTGACATACATTATCAATCATCTCAATGACATTATGAGGTAAATTCTATTACTATCCTGACGTGGCTCACACTTGCATTGGCAGCTGCAACAATTATCTCCACTCCACAATCGCTTTCTCAATGTGACCTTGCCATTGTCTCATCAAGAGGTTGAGTTTATTTCTCTCCCCGTTGAATCTAGGATAGTCTGGTGACTGCTTTGACCACTAGAATGTGGTGTAAGTGATGTGCAGAGACTTTCAAGCCCAGGTGTTAAGAGGCCTGGTAGCTTCTGTGCTCACTCAGGTGCTATATCAGAAGTTTGACTATGTCAGGCTGTCATGGTATGAGGAGGTCTAAGCCGGCTACATGGAGCGGTCACAGGGAGAGAGAAAGGAGATGCACAATGGAGTCACCAGACAAGCTAAGTGAAGAAGTCATTTTTGGGTGTCCAGCCCTAGCAGAGGCCACATGATACAGAGGAGTTATCCCTGCTGAACTCTGCCTAAATCACAGAATGAGAGAAGAAGTGATTCACTGTTGTTTTAACCTACTGAGACAGCAAAAGATATGACAGTCAAAATAGATCCTTACTTTACAAGTGAGAAAATGAAAGCTCTGCTCGGTCACACAGCTAGTGAGTGAGTAGAGCACCCACCACGAAGTCTAGCCCCTGACTCCCTGACACCCACAGCAGGGGTGCTTTCTCCCACCTGCCACGCCCTCACATTTATATCAGCTCCTCCCCGGAAGCCACATTAACTCCTTGGAGGCAGGGACCGTATCTAATTCATTTTATGTTCCCAAAGCACTTGGCACAGTTCCAGGAACTAGCAAGTTCTCAAAGTAATGCTAAAAGTCAGAAGAGCGTGCTCATGTGCATCCACACCTTGGATCCTCCTAGAATCACTGAGAAGTGGGCTGGGCTGTGACTGTCATACCCATTTTGCAGAAGAGTAAACTGTGGTTCAGGGATTTGCCTATTTACCCAAGGGATAAATGGAGGAGCTGAGCCCTTCTGACTCTATTACTCTTGATTTTCCTCCCCTCAGATGCCCAGATCTTTTTCTCCTACATGCTTGCGCTGACCTACATCCTATCATGCACCTCATTGACTCCAGGCCATCTCAGCTGCACAAGGATTACATGGGCCAACCTTTGATTTGCACCAACAAAGCTGTAGTTAGAATAGTGCAAATGACCTCCTGGAGGGGACATCTAAGAAGAGCTGTGTTTAACACCCAAATAGAACTTCAGTCCATCCCAGAGGTCAGAGGGTGGATTGCTTCATTATTAATACATTTTATTGATTATTTTAACAATATTTTAATCAATAATAATTAATGATAAAAGAGATGTGCTTGCAAATCACAGTGAGTCTGAGAGCTTACTAGATGTCTCAGGTTGGGTTCTCCAGAAGCAGAGCCTGAGTTAGGGATCCTGGAACTCGCAAATCATTAAGGAGTACTCTCAGGAAAAGGGGGGAGTGAGGAAAGCAGGACAGGGCAGAGGAAGGCACTAAGCGAGGATGTGGTCTCCGGAATCTGGCTACAGCCTGGTCCTATGGAGAGCTCTAGAGAATGGAGCTAGTTCCATGTTGAAGCAAGAGGGCTGGGCTTTTAAAACCCCCTCTCAGTCAGAGCTGAGGGCTGGGGGGGCAGGGCCTAACTTCCTGGGCCAGGTGTCCTCAGTGTGGGTAAGGGCAGGTCTCTGGAGCAGTGGGGCACCTGAAAAGGCTGTGGATGTTAACAGCCAACATTTATAGCAGCAGCCTGGTAAGAGAGATTTCAGGGGGGCACTACAGTGTCTATTGCACGTGCTGTGATTCAGTATCTGATGATCCTTGAGAGTCAGAAGACATTTCAGGCCTCAAAACTCATGCTGTGAGATGGGAATCCCCTGGAAACTATGGTCCATAATACTGGAATTTGACAGTAGAGAGTTAAAATTAGCACAGGGATGCCAGGTCTTTCCTTGGCCCACTTACCAGGGCACGTAAGGATTCTGTCTCAGCCTGGAGGCTCTGGACTTGGCACGAAGTGTTGTGTAACTCCACCCTGAGGGCAGCTGCCAGCTTCTCTTCCTGGGTCTGGGACACGTGGGCCACCTCCGCCTGTTGCTGTGGAGAGTCAGGTCTCAGTATGAGCGGGGAAGATCAGGAGCTGAGCCCATCCTTCCTTCCTAGCCTTTCTAATCACCACTCCACTGCCTCAAACCAGAGGAAACACAGCTGTCACATGGAAACATCTTTTTTTTTTTTTTTTTTTTTTTGAGATGAAGTCTCGCTCTATAGCCCAGGCTGGAGTGCAGTGGTGCGATCTCAGCTCACCGCAACTTCCTCCTCCTGGGTTCAAGCAATTCTCCAGCCTCGAGTAGCTGGGATTACAGGTGCCTGCCACCATGCCTGGCTAATTTTTTTTTTTTTTAAATATTTTTAGTAGAGACAGATTTCACCATGTTGGCCAGGGTGGTCCTGAACGCCTGACCTCAGGTAATCCGCCCGCCTTGGCCTCCCAAAGTGCTAGGATCACAGGCATGAGACACTGCGCCTAGCTGGAAACATCTTTTTTTTAAACAGGTCCCTTCACCAACTTGTATACAAAAATGCATTTATTTTGAACATACAATGCGTGCAAATGAAATACAATTCAAAAGATTTCCTACAGACTATATAGAAAGTCTCCTTTTCTCCCATGTCCTAATTACCCAGTTCTCTTGTTTCTAGTTTCTTATTCCTCTTTCCAGAAATAGTTTATATGTTTATAAATATGTATTATCCTCTTGCTTTGGTACTTAATATATCTTAGAAATTATTCTATATCAGTATATATTAGGTTGGAGGAAAAGTGATTGCAGTTTTTGCCACTACTTTCAATGGCTGAGACGGCAATTAATTTTGCACCAACCTAATAGAAATCGAGTACATTCTTTTTAGCGGCTGCACAGTGTCGTCTTGTTTGGAAGGGCTGCAATTTATTTAGAAGTCTCTGCTGGTGGACACTCAGATTGTTTCTAGTGTTTCTTTCCCTATTACAAACACTGGTGCAAAGAAACAGCTTAGATCCCTTATTTTTCATACAAGAGCATGTCTTTGAGAAAGTAGTTCTTGTAGTAGAACTGCTGATTAGAAAGGGTATATATTTTTAATTTCGGTGAATAGTGGCAAGTTTCCCTTCGGAAAACTTGAAATCCGTTTCAGCATTGTAAGACAGTGCCAGTTGTCCCATACCGCCCTCCAACAAGGAGTTATCCAACTTGATCTCTGTCAATCTGACAGTCCCTGTTTCCTTGTGAAAACCATATGTCTAGCCACAACTGTGAAACTGTGACCCAGACATAGGGAAGCTCTGTGCTTTTAACCTTCTCCCCAGAGCAAGATGGACAGAGTCAGATCCCTTCCTATATATTCAGGGGAGCAGGTCATTGTCACTCCTCTTTTGTGGGGAAAAGATGAAAAATAGGAGATCATCTCCAGTTTCTTTGATGCAGTCTGATAGAATGCCACCTAGCCAAGAATGTGGGAGGGAAAAAACTCTACTTTCCTAGGTTACGGTTTTCTGGAATTACCATTTTTACCACATATGAATATTTATTTACAGAATAATCCAAAGATAATCCAATCTAATGAACTGGCTAGAAACCCCAAGTCGAGGCAGGGTACAGTGGCTCACGCCTGTAATCCCAGCACTTTGGGAGGCCGAGGTGGGTGGATCACCTGAGGTCAGGAGTTCAAGACCAGACTGACCAATATGTTGAAAACCCATCCCTACTAAAAATACAAAAATCAGCCGGGTATGGTAGCGTGAGCCTGTAGTCCCAGCTACTCGGGAGGCTGAGACAGAGAATTCTTGAACCCAGGAGGCAGAGGTTGCAGTGAGCCGAGATGGCACCACTGCACTCCAGCCTGGGTGACAGTGAGACTCTGTCTCAAAAAAAAAAAAAAAAAAAGAAACCCCAAGTCAAGAGGCTCATAGCTCAGTAGTAGCACCTCCAATTCTTACTGTTTGAAGTCTTTACGGAGCCCATAGAATGACCATTAAAGGCCTTGAAGCAGCTGAAGGACAACAGAAGCCTTGGACCCAGCTCTGACTGGTTAGCCGACAGCTTGTGGCCCTAGGCCATCATTCAGCCTCTTAGAGTCTCAGTTTTGCCCACGGAACACAGACCACAATGAATGGAGAATCATACTCATAATCATATAATGACTCTGTCCTGTGGTCACTATGAGGCTTCCAGCAGATTAAGCATGCTGAAGCCTTTAGAACCCTAAAAGCATGAAAACACTGGCTGTATATATTTTCCAAATGTAAAAAGTAATAGTAGCCAACAAACAACTTTTATTATTTAATAGTTAAATAACAAAATGGTAATAGTTAAATGCTACTATGAAGAGTTAAATATTTAGTAACAGTTAAATAGTAATAAATACGACTACTAATAACGAATATGTATTAGGCACTTACTCTGTGCCAAGCACCATGTTAAAAGTTTTAATCGATTATCTAATTTAATCTTTACAACCCTATGAAGCAGATGTCATTATTATCCTCATAGGAAACTGAGGCACAGGGAGATTGAGTTGTTTGCTGAAGATTATATGGCCAATGAGAGACAGAAACAGGATTCAAGCCCAGCAGCAGACCCAGAAATGTGCTCCCAACCAGTATTTAATGCTGTCATCTCCACCAATCTACCAATTTAAGATCCCTAAAATTGGAGGTATCTTCCCCTAAACTCAGGTGGATCATTCTGAAGTATACTCCTTATCTTCCACATTCTTAAGATCAGTACCCCAGTTTTTCTCCCCTGTTTGGGGTTGGGGTCCTGGTCACATGGGCTGTGTAGGTGGGTGGGAGGCAGGAGGTGGGGCATCCTGGAAGGCAAATAGAGTCAGGCAATGTAGCTACAGCGGGTGGCGGGGAGCAGTAGTGAACTAGAACTGGCTCCTAACAGCTCACAGGAACTGATTTTTAAATTTCCAGGCATATTGTAAGCTGACGGCTAAACACAGCCATCATTAGAAATTAAATTATATTGCTACTGGCCAGGCGCAGTGGCTCACGCCTGTAATCCTAGCACTTTGGGAGGCTGAGGCGGGCGGATCATGAGGTCAGGAGATTGAGACCATCCTGGCTAACCCGGTGAAACCCCGTCTCTACTAAAAATACAAAAAATTAGCCAGGGGTGGTGGCAGGCGCCTGTGGTCCCAGCTACTCGGGAGGCTGAGGCAAGAGAATGGCGTGAACCTGGGAGGCGGAGGTTGCGGTGAGCCGAGATCGGGCCACTGCACTCCAGCCTGGGCGACAGAGCGAGACTCCGTCTCGGGGGAAAGAAAAATTATATTATTACTGGTAACTGTAACATAAGTGGCTAATAGGTAGCCAGTCAGACATGAACAGGGCAGGAGAGGCACCCCCGCAACCAACTAAGAATGTCAGGCGACCATCAGGTGATGGTCAGGTGGTTGTTAACTGTCTCTCTAAAATAGTAACTTGTCACAGCTGGCAGGGAAAAGCAGTCTCCCTAAAGATAGAAAAAAACCTGAAACTGGTGATCAGCAACTTCCTGATAAGATCTCAGGAGCTAGGCAAGTGAGCTCAAGCGTGCACACTAAGAGGCAAAATGGCAGAGTTAAACTGGTATATGACCTCCTAGGGGCATTCAGCTGGTAAGAGAAGAATGCCTCAAATGAGCATGTGTACAACTCCAGTAAACACACTGCGCATGCTCCCCTCCAAAGTGCTAGCAGGCCATCGCACATGCGGACACCCCGCCCCAAGGGTGGAATCAGGGGAGAAGGGACACAAGATCCCAGAAGAATGCCAACGTTTAAATCCCCAAGTCAAAAGGTCAAACCGCACACTTGTCTTTCAAGTTGCCTGCTGGGCCCTCTTCTAAGTGTATTTCCTTCCTTTGGTTTCTGCTCTAGAGTTTTTTGTTTTGTTTTGTTTTGAGACGAAGTCTTGCTCTTGTCCCCCAGGCTGGAGTGGGATGGCGTGATCTCAGCTCACTGCAACCTCCGCCTCCCAGGTTTAAGCGATTCTCCTGCCTCAGCCTTCCGAGTAGCTGAGATTACAGGTGCCTGCCACCGCACCTGGCTGATTTTTGTATTTTTAGTAGAGAAAGGGTTTCTCCATGTTGGCCAGGCTGGTCTCTAACTCCTTAACTCAGGTGATCCTCCGGCTTCAGCTTCCCAAAGTGCTGGGATTACAGGTGTGAGCCACCATGCCCAGTCTCTGCTCTAGAGTTTTTAAATAAACTTTCACACCTGTTCTAAAACTTGCCTCAGTCTCTTCTGCTTTATGTCCCTCAGTCGAATTCTTTCTTCTGAGGAGGCAAGAATTGAGGTTGCTGCAGACCCCCTACAGATTTGCCACCAGTAACAAATAAGTGAGTGACTTTTTGCTTAATCGGAAATTAGTAATCAAGCATTTTTTGTAGTCTGATTTTGTGATACTATTGTTGATGATAGAATTATAAAAAAATGGTTGGTGAATTTTCCAAGAAATAGCAAGTCATGCTGAAGTTATAGGTGTAATTGAAATATCAAAGTATTTTGTCTTAAAATTTGTGTTACCTCTAAAATTATATATAAAAAAATCAACGGAAATTGTTACATTACCCTTAAGTAGTACTGTGAATTTGATTGGCACATATATACATATACATGTATTTCACCCAGAAAGCAGCTGTGAAACATTTACCATCACTCCATGGGGAAGAGCCAGGGAAGGAATGGAGGCAACTTTCAAAGCCTTGGTGGGCAGGTCTGGTGTAAAGCTGCTGGCCAAGGCTAGAGCCACAGTCCCTCACATGATTTGTCCCCTCTCAATCCAGTGAATGGCTTCCGTGATACTTACTGGTCTCTTGGCTGAAACACTGTGTCTTAGTTTCATTAGCAAAAATACTGTATTTAAGTGTTTCTCAAATGTTCTTGGACCACCGACCGACATGGTTTTTCACACTATCTGAATACTCATTCGTGCTATTTTTATTTAAACCAATTCACTCTTTCTTTACAAATAAATGTGTTTAAAATGGAAACGGTAGGTTAGTTATCTGTAAAATGTAGGTTAGTTTAAAATGGAAACTGTAGTTTAAATGAGCATCAGCATCACC